TTTCAGTGCTAGCCCCTTTGGTGTGGGAGCAGTGGCTGGACGTTTCCGATTTGGGAGCTGGTCTGGGGGGGGGGGGGGGGGGGGGGAGCACCCCGCCGGCAGGACGGCAGGCCCAGCCTCTGCGCCGCCTCCCCGCTCCCCTTCCAGGCTCACAGACGGTCCAGCCCTGGGACTCGGTCCTCCTAATCTCCCCAGGGACAGCAAATGGGAGCGGGGAGCAGTAATCCCTCTCCCCCCCCCGCCCCGGCTGGCCATCGTGTGAGGGGGTTAACGCTTTCCTGCCCCGGGGAAGCCTCGGGTTTCTTACTCGGCTTCTGCTCTGGCTTAGCAGCAAAGACATCGGGAAACGTTCCTGCCATGGTTGGGAGAGGTGGGAGTGTTTAAGAATTAACCCGGCCGGCGAAGGAGGAAAATCACGACCGGTAACATTTACTAGGAAGAAAAAGGAAAAACCCCACAGATGTGATTAGAACCAGGCATTTCTCGCCGGCACGCAGGCAGCATCTCCTTCTGCCCAAGCCCAGCGGCTGCCACGGGCTGCGCATCGGGCAGATCCCAATTACAGCAGACTCGTGCTGCTCTCCTGGCCGGGTCAAGGCCGGCAGAAGCTGACCCCAGGTCACGCTGCTCGCAAGGCTTGGCATTGCAATGCCAGACACAGAAACTGCAGCAAAGAGGGACACACGACCGGTGCCTCTCTGCAATACTTCCTTAGGCGTCCTGAGAATTGTCAGCTGCGTACTTCCAGCCTCTTAGTTTCCGATCCCTGGGTCTGGAGGTGATGCTGTGCAGAACAGCAAGGAGGAAAAAGTAATTTTCAGCTAAGGAGCAGTCCCTAGCCCAAATCCACTGGCTGTTCAATAGGCCGCTCCGTCACGTAGTAGCACCTCCGATGTTATTATCACTGTGCGGCAGAGAGAAGCGTTCTCCGGCAGCATTCCTATTTTCATTTTCCATGGGTCTCCATTTGTTCTCTTAAAAGTATTTTTTAATAAAAAAAAAAAAGTCCTAACTGCCTCTTCTGATTCACTGCATATGATCGTTGATAATAACAACTGGGATATGGCACATGGAAACCAAAAAAAGAGAAAAGGCAGGAAAAGAGATTTAGGGAGATATTTCAAAGATTTAAAAATAACAACGGTGATGGTTAAATGAGAAAATTTTCTTCTCTGCCTGGGGAACCAGAAAGGCTGTGGTTAATGCTCGAGTTCCCCTGGTCAGGTTACCCACCTCAGCGATTACAAGAAGAGCTGAGCAGTGCAGCTCGAGTTCAGAAGGGGAGCTGAAGCATAGCAGAGGCTCTTTGATGCATTAAGACAGCCCAAGTCAACAGCAGGTCTGGCTGTAAGGGAGGCAGCAGCCTTGGAGAATGTGACCTACATAGGGGCTTCAGCCTCCCAGGCAGCATTGAGGGGAATCAGCGGCTTATACAGCCACGGACATTTCCTAAAATACTTGTAATTGCGGTACTCGCCGGAGCAGACGACAGAAAAGCAGACCAAACGTTTCCACAGGGTTTTATTGAGGTATGACTTACGAATGAGCCTTTTCATTTAAAAAAAATTGAAAAAAGGTAAATTAATCCATACATTTATTCAAATCCCCTGCTATGATCCCAAGTCAGGCACAAAGCAATGTTTCCTTCCCAAGCCAGCAATTTTTCCATAAAAATAACCTCACAAATGGAAGGAAGAGGTGCTTTACGTTTTATTTTCTCTAGGAAGTAATAATAATTTTTAAATGGGCGATATACCTCCAGCCCTGTTTTTCCCTTAAAATGACCCCAAGCTGCACAGGAAAAATATTTGCTCTCAGTGCTTGAACAAACCTCAGTGAATTAAGTTTTTGTTGTTAATGGCAAGGCTGCTGTTTATCTGCGGAGAATCAAACCAGATGTGGAAAATAACTGAGGGTTTGGTGGCTCAGCAGCTCACCCTTCAACCTCGTGGAGGAAGCCCGCCACCTAAACCTGGTCGAGGTCGCAAACAGCCCTAAAGCCTTGGAGATGCCTGGGTTTGTCTGCCGTGGCCGTCGGTGCCCACCCAGTTCCCAGTGGGAGTCAGGGGGTGAGAAGTGGGAGCCCCGGCTGGGCTCCAGAGGAAGAGCCGAGCGCTTTGGCACTTCTGTGCCCTCCTCGGGGAAACTTTCACACGGTGAAGCCAGCTTTGAGCTTGTGACATCACTGAGGGTTAATTAAAATGTTAAAAATCTGCCATAATTGCCATCCCAGAGAAAATAATGTGTTCTACTCCATAAGACTGGTTGGGTAAAACTTTTTTCTCCCACCAGAAAGTTTCCCCAGACTGGAAAGATTCAATACCTGGAGAGCACTAACGTGGAAATGCAGTGGTGGCCTATAGCAGGACGTGAGGGTGGCCGCCCCGTGCCACCTCCCTCCCCGGGAGCCGGGCTCCCCGGCCAAGCTGCACCTCCCACGCTGCCCCCCGGGACCTCTGCCGTGAGGAGTGGGGATCTTGCTAATGAGGGGGGGGGAACGCAAGTACCCTCAGCAAGTACCTTGGCCAGAAGGTCTGCCCCGCGGATGTGCAGTAATACACTTCCCATATAGCCCCGCAGCGGCATTTCTGAATTTTAGCTGGAGATGTGTGTCAGAAAATGTTTGCTTTGTGGCTTCTACATTTGTGTTGAAAACTTTCGCAGGAAGACAAAAAAAACCCAAACCCACTCATCACAACATTTTCTGACCAACTCTATTAAAACCTTTTAATCACATTTTTGACCACAGAAGCAGGAGGAAGCTGCATCCTTGAAGTGTTTTCCCTATTTTGCACGTGAGCTTTTCATCCCGTCCCAATGAATACCCGCGGCATTAACCACAGCCATCTGACAGAGCGTTTGAAGCACAACAAGCACGCGGGGCGAGAGGCTGAAGAGGCGACCGTGGGCAGTGTGTGCCAAGGAGGGGTTCACAACAGCCTGCTTTTCCACTCCACCGCGACCTGCCTCGCCTTTCCTCACCGGGGACTTGCTTCCCCCTAAAACAAGCCTGAGCCCTGCAAAGGAAACACCTAAGCGGTGGGGAAAGGTGGCTGTGCGGATCCATTAGCACTTCATTTCAGTAGCCCTGCTCCCTGCAGGAGATCTAATTGGGCTAATGAACATTAGCCCTCTTCAGGCGTACTGAACCCGGTCCGGCGGGAGGACCAGTGGGAAGCTGTCCTGGCACGCCCCGGGAGGTGTTGGGGAGGCACAAGGCTCTCCAGTGGCTCCGATGGCTTATTCATATCTCTCACTACATGCACCTCTGAATGGGATGATCGACTGCATATTTGGCAAAGGGCAAATTTAGCAAAGGGCTCACCCATCTCCCGCTCTCTCTTCTTGTAGCTCTTTCCCTATGAACAGATAATATAGCTCTTCATTTTCTTCATGGGATGGCCAACAGGTACTGATGGTTTAACCCCACTTTACCCTTAAATACCCAGGCTTATACTAAAAAAGTATAATTTCTGGAAACAAATTATGTGTTTTGGACAAACATCCAAAATGCAGAAAACGGAGGGCGGTATTTCCATGCAGTATCTCTGTGGCTGCTAAGTTGTCTCCACTGGAGTCAGCCTTGCTAGGCTTTCACACGGCTGAGATAAGGAGATGTACACTCTCCAGTGAGGTACCAATCCTACCACATGCACCAGGGAGGCAAGGGCAGGAAAGTCACATTATGCCCCATCTGATAAGGCTGTACTGATGGTCTTGCGAAACTGAATAAATACCCTGTTGATCTAGCCATATTCATCAGAATATACAAGTTAGCATTAAAACAGTGCATGTGATTTAAATATTGCTGCAGCATTGCAAGAAAAGCGCATGCAGGTGTTAATGCAGATTTGCATGGGGCTGTCTCTGTGCACGTATGAAAGAACTATTGACTTACAAAATCAGGTTGCCTTTGTAACGCCACGCACAGATCTCCTTCTCTCCCCTCCCTGGAGAAATCAGGATGTGAAGAAGCAAAGCTTTCTTCCTTCTTGATGTTTCCTAACTAGGCCAGATCACTTTGGAAGATGGCCAAATGTTAATTTAATATTCACCGCTGACCTGTTTTATTCCTCTGAGGTTTCGGTAAAAAGTTGGGTGAAAGCCTTTTCCTCTGTTTGTCTGAAAGTGCGCCACTGTTAGTGCCAATCCCTGAAGCACAGTCTGCAGTGCACACATAAATGATTTATTCAAAGCTACCACTACTTACTCGCTCCATCAACACACTCCTGCAGAAACGTGCTAGCTGCCGCTCAGGTAATATTCACAGCAGCATCAGGGAAAAAAAAGAATAAACTGCTTCCTTTTTATTTTAACACCCTTCTTCATGTCTCTTCAGAGTCATGAAAGAGATTTGGAAAACAGGCAAGAAATACCAAACTCCCAGCTCTCCTCCAGCTGACTGCATATCACCGGGCTGCTTAGCCAGGAGATTATGCAGCTGTGTAATCTGCAATGCAAAGCTGAAACCCTCCCGCAAACCATCACTACCTGACTGCAGTACAAAGGTGCTGTTCTGGCTACTGGAAGTAAGAGAGGATAAGGGGAGGAAACTGCAGAGGCAGAAGAGATTTTTTTTTCCTTTAATAGCACATGAAAATCCAAGTCAAAGTTGAATTTGAAATTTGAAGCGAGTGAAAATGGTGGTTTTTCTGCTTGCAGGCAGAGGGCGTTGTGATCAGGTGTTGCTAGACATGCTGGTCACAGCTGCCCCTACAGAAATCATTTTTTAACTGAATTAGGAATTTACAGATACTGTACTCACATGCGCATGTGTTCGCATGCAGTATCACTCATTACCTGTGCAGCAGATTCTGCTAGACAGACAGACATGCATACGTACACGACTGATGGCCATCAGTCCACAATAGCCCTGCTGACTTTGGAAATTGCCCTAAATATCAAGCATATGTTATGTGTCGTTAATCCTCTTAGCTTCCATTTTCTACAATAGGAGTTGTGAGTGTTCAGCTCCTTCTCAGACTTGGCTACGGAAGAGAATATATTTCTGTGCTTGCCGCTACGTGCTCAGATACCTAATTTAAGTTACTGGTTGTGAT